ATATTTCACTTAGAAGAAAATTAAATGCTTCATTTTGGAACTGATTTATATGACATTGGCCTTGATTTCTTGGTACCTGCAGATGTTTAGCATGTTTAGTGTAGAATCTGACACATTCTTAGGAAATACAACAATTTACTGACTGTCAGATCTTCTCTGATATGGCAAATAGCTGCTCTGTTCTCGTAATATGTGATTTCCCCAGAAGAGATAACTAGAAAAAAATCTTCCAACCAACATCCACTAATGTCACATTCTAGCTTGTAACTCTTTGATTTTTACATATCCCCCAACTTGATTTGGTCTTATAACTTTGAACTATGAGGGCCTTGGGACATTTGCTAAATAATGCAGAATAGATTTACCTATGACAGCAGCAATTAACCTGATTCTATAAACTATTTTGGGACACATCTTAAATGTCAAGGTCTTCGTTGAATTACACATCATGCATTCATTAATTGTGGTAGGAAAGATTCTGAGCAGTGGACAGGTAACCAGGATTTAATATGAGATTGTGGTGGGTTTTCAGATTTATGTCTGAAATTAAGATTCCATATATTCAGATCTCTCAAATGACCAGGATTCATTTCTTCTTACAAGAAAAGTTTAAGCAGCAATAGAGGAAGCAGCAAATCCAGAGAACTGGACAAACACAGTTTTTCCACTTTGCCAATCGTATTTCTCATTCAGGAATCTTACATTGCAGATCAAATGATACTATTGTTTCCTAACATGCTGCATTATTGTCTATGCCAACATTGATGCTGCTCCTTATTGCAAATGTCAGAGTTTGTGCTACATTAACTTGGAAATATATCCAGGTATCATGAATTTTTCTTACATTTCTATATTGCAGGTATGGACTTGGTGGGATCCACTATTTGGATGCTGGCTATCGTGACTTTCGAGCCTATTTTGTGCTCCCTCGCAAAGGCACTGTATGGGTAAGTTATGCATTCCCAAGTAAAGGAGGAGGGGATAGTATATGACCTATCCTGGGGTCATTGAAAGGTGTAAATGAGGCTTATGATTCTATCCTTTTTGCAGAGTATCTCTGGATCTGATTGGCTGAACACAGTGGCTGCTGGTGATATCGCCGGGGAATTGGTGGCTGCAGTGATGCCTGATCTCTCAGTCAACCCACAAAATGTCAAGCGGCCATCAGACCGTCGATTTGTAGGTTTTGCTGCCACTGAGTAATGGGAAGGCTATGGCAGGCCCACAAGCTTTATCTCCAACCAAAGAGGGTAGAAACAAGAATGGACCCCTCTGTCAACTCTCTAGATCCAGGTTGGATCTGAGTGGAGGAAAAGGAAGCTTATTGATGCATTAACTGTAGCCAGTTGTGCAAAGTAAGGAATGTCTTCCAGGAGAAGCATGTTGTTTGGATGGAAGCATATTAATTTTGAAAAGGAGAAAGAAAAACAGAAACCTCTTGATTGGTATTAATAGTGTGGGTATTTAGTTTCCTGATAAAATTAAGGACATAATTTGGGGATGTGAAGAAGTTCCGTTCTGTGCTCCAGATCACAAATATTAGATTTGTATGGCCTTTGAGACTTGAGAAAACTAATGAATGCATATGAATGACCCAAAAGAAACCTTTCCCTGGATTTAATGACAATCAGAACTTCAGTCACAATAGCAAAGAGGTTTAAGGTCTCTGAAAGTTTGGGTCAGATCAATCCCTTCAGCTACTCAATATTTAGGTTTAGGCTTTGTATCGCTGCTTCTTAATTATCATTGCACTTGTCCTCTGTGCACTTGTCCGATGTTGTGACTGGAATGCAACATTTCTTGTCTGAGGCCATCCTTAACACCTATTTCTCTTTGTGTCTTCAGCTCATCTGCAAAGCAGTTTTACAGCCAAATGACCCACTTAATAAGATTGCGACAGAGGCAACAGCCTGTGAGAAGCCACAGACAGTGGGCAAAACATGCAGTGAATCAGTGGGCCAGAATGTCATTCTCTTCCAGGATTCTGATTTGGTGAGGGCTTGGAAATCCCAGAATTCTGCTTCAAGGACAATAACAGTTACAACATGGGGACAGAGGGGCTCATTTCAGCTTCATAAATATTCCAGTCAGGACCCTGTATCTATCAGACTAGAGATAACTATTGATAATGGATCTGGCACTGAATATATTAAATGCTAACAAAGGCAGCAGAAACTGTGGTTATAATTATTCTACTCTCCTTGTATTAACGTCAAGATGCAGGTTTCCCACTTCCAATTTCCATGTAGCACTGCTTCTATCAGGCCCGCCCATTCTGTGGTGTGTTTCAGAGTGATAAGGCTCCATTCCAAGTCAATAAATCACTATTTGACAACTGTAATCAAAAAGCCTTAATGGATGAAGTGCTTCATTTTCTTGATTTACCCAGGCCTGCTTTTAATTCTTATTTTCCTTGTCCTTCCAAGACATCTTTCAAGAGCCTCTTTAGGCAGAAGCCCCTGAAACGCATGCCAAAAGATGTAAAAGAAGGAGCTGTCCTGGGCCGGATGCAGCTAGAGACTGTACATAAGGTAAACATAAAAGGAAAAAAGACTGTATGACTCGAGAGGAAAGACAAATGGTACTTCACAGTATCTTTGTGTCAAACTGTGGCTTCCCCATCCTCTCTGAGCTTCGTGGATTTGTGAGGGAGATATATCTTGAATGGAGATGGGTGGGTTAATGGTCTTCTTCACCCTTTTGTTTCTTCTCTTGGCAGGTGCGCTTCAGCCCAAACCTTGACACCCATACCTGGATAGCATCTGGCGGTCAGTCTGGCCTTGTGCGACTTCACTGTGTTCGGGCATTGGTTTTCCCCCGCAGCCACAAGCTTCTCCTTGACTGTCAGGCCCATTTCAGTTCCATGTTTGATTCAGAGAGACAGATTGACTGCCCCACAACCATCTCATCTGGGGTGCACAGTGCGGTCAGCTGAATTTTACCTGGGGCAGCTCAATTTGGAGCATCAGCAACCACAAGCTGACAAATTGAAGGCCTTTTGTGAGAATCCTGGAATTATCAGAATATACAGAACACAACAAAACATGAAAATACAAGAGGATGTTGGCCATATTGAAACCGATAAGCTGAAGAGAATGACAAAGGCAGGGTTTGGCCAGATGAATGGAATATACTGGAGCTTTTAGCAGTACCAGAAGAGAAGAGGCAGTGATGAGGAATAGTCCATCCAGCTGTATCTCTGCCATGTGGTGATACTTCTCTCCCCGAGATTCTCCTGCATGTCATAAAGTTCAGAAAGGAGGGATTTGATTTCCCTCTAGCTAGTCTGGTGGAATAATAGCCCATATTCTTCCTGCATAGATCTGGAGATTCTCCTGAAACCTAGATCTGCTCCGATTAAAGCATCAACAAGACTTTCTTGCCCCATTGCTCAGTCTTGTTGGTGACAATAATTTTGCTCACATTGAGCCATTTTGTTGTCTTAACCATTATTAAAATGTGTTTTGATTTGTAAAAGCGCTTTCTTTCTTTGGAAAGGGCTTCACATGCCCCCTTCCTCCCTGTGGTGACAAATAAGGAAATAAGCTAAGGAGTCCTTGGTGCTCTCTGAGCTTGGCTGTTTGCTTGCAGATGTTTCATTACTTAACTAGGTAACATCATCAGTGCGATTGATAAGCCTATGTGCATCTTTGTCTTCAAAATGAGTTAAGACTAGTGCATTTTAGTTACTCTCTTAGGAATCTGTTTTAGTTTTAAAGAGTAAATTTGTACCATTGCCTTTATTGTGGTAAATTGCACGTTTGTAGTATATTGTTTCTAAAGAGATCTTGGACAAGATTCAATCCATGTCCTAATCTGTCTTCCATGACAAATGCTACTCGCGTTCCTCCATCAGCTGTCAACACCAAGGACTTCTTTCAAACCACAAAGTAGGTAGCTATAAACCGTATAGAGACTCCAACTATGCTGCAACTTTTAGTGGTCTCCCATAATTTTCACTCTTATGGAAAACTGAGTAAAAAGGCTATTTGAACTTGAGTATTTAATAAAATTGATCTCTTACCCCCTACCACCACTAAATTCTGGAAAATCTCATCTTTGCCAACTCGCATGATATGTATCTTCTCACTCTGCTTTACCATCTTGCCTGTCATAGTTCTAGTATCAGACAAGCTGTTAACTCTAGTTGCGTAAAGAGACAAGAGTCAGCAATAGAATACATTCACACCAGCTGTTTTAAGACCTCTGAGCCAAAACTACAGCTCTTTCGGGTTTGCCCGACCATCCCCTTTCCTTCAACCCCCCTGCTTCCACTCTAGAACAATTTGTTCTATATCTCTACAACTGACATGCTTTTTCCGAGCCTCAGTAAACTAGTCTGGTGTGGCTGAGCAGGTTACTTTATTGGAATCACAAATATTTTCAGCATTGAATTAAAATAGTTAAAATACCATCTGGATACACTGTAAAAAACACTATACAGTAAAAACATACATACATCCACTACACAGGCATACACATAATACTCAAATTGTGAATGCAAAAATGACTTGGGCTGAGCATATGGTGGTAGTGTGGGAACAAGTTCAGATAGCGGTAGCAGAAAACTTTTCTTAGTCACTAAGATTTTGGGCCACTTTACTTGGCCTCTGGAAAGTGGCTGTGAGGAGCAGCTTCTTTAATTACTTTAACCACCAGTATCAGTGATGGTTGCCTGGAGAGCACATGGGTACCTTGAGCTACTTTGCAGAAAAAAACAAATTGCCATGGGGACTAAAGTAAACATTCTTAACTAACCAGCTACCTTGGTCATGCTAGATCGAGCCGGGAGGGAGATGATTTCACTGAACTATCTCTAACCTTGCTGCTGAGATCTGTCTGCCTGTTGAAGAGCAGCTGTGATGACCTTAATATTTTTTTCCCATTCCCCCCCACAATCTTCCCTGAATCTTAAAAATGGATAGTAACTATAGTCTTCCAAGTCAAATGGTTCTTCAGGCATCCTTTCATTTGGTATTTATATTATATATACAACATAATCAGTTTGCACTTAATTCCTATTTTTCTTGTTCAGATCAGTAAAAGACCAATCCAATAGAATAATTTTGAGAATCTTCATTTCTCCTCCAAGTGAGATTTGGGTAACCATAATCTGTAAGCAAACAGCATCCTGGCTGTCATAGCATGTAGTTTCTATACGTACATAAGTTTTGAGGTCAGGTCTGGTCATTATTTAGACAAGAAACCTCCAGGGACTACCATAGTAGAGAACATGAAAAAAAAAACCATGCTGAAAGAAGACAGGCATTTCTATACTGTGGCTAAGAAAATGATACAGATGGATCCATGGAGTCACCAGGAGCTGAGATTGACTCACATGAGAACTGACTTTTTAAAGCTTGGTTTAGACAGAAAAGCTATGCAAATATCAACTTTTCTCCAGGAAAAGGAATAAAGATAACTTGGTGAGATCATTGGGACAGAAGACATTTTTGAGGCTAATTCTGCTGCTCATTCTGCAGGCAAAATAGGGCTTGCTTTACTTTTGCGGGATTAGTCACAATAGGAGGTGGAGTGGAATAATGTTGCTCCACCCATGCTTTCATATTTCGCATTCATTTTGAAAAGTTATTGTTACTCCTGCAACACATGCAAACACAGAGATGGTCGCAATAAAAGCCCTGAACAAGCACCAAGCTACCCAAATTGAAAAAAATGACTGCTTTCCATCTCAAGAGCAAAGATGGTTAAAGCCCTTACCACCAGATCTCCATTTCTGTTGGATTTGTACACCAATACAATTAGCAAATGAACATGGGAAGCAGTTGTGGTCCCACATGACTGGAATGCAACCTGAAGAGGCAAATCCGAGCCAGCAACTCTTCCGTGGAGACTTCCTTGGCTGGGCAGACAGTTATCCCTGGTGCTTTGCCGTTTCCTGCATATGCTGGTTAAACATGCATTGAGAGGAGGCTTTTGCTGTGAATGGCAAAAAGGGCTGGTCCCTGCTTCTGGCCCTGGATTTCCAGGCATCACCTGGGGCTGGCAGTTGAAGAGAAGAGAAAAGTAGACATGGTAGCACTTTCCCCTTAGTCCTGTGGGTCCAGGCATTGGTGGCAGGTGGCCATGTCATCCAGGTAGTGCTCCACCTGTATGGTGCATGAGAAGAAGCCAAACTTGCTTTGTAGCAGAGCTGTGGCTTCTTGCAGCACAACCTCCATGTCAGCATCGTATTCTAGAAGCAAAAGTCAAAGTAGGGTCAGTTGTAAACTGGCTCAGGCTTATCTCGTGCATTCCCCTATAGGGGAAATAAAAGCTACTATTTGTAGTTCCCAAGCCAGAATAGCAGAGATCCTATTTCGCATCCCGAGTTCAATCCTCTGCATCTCCAAGTAAGTCTACAAAAGACAATTTTCTGAAAAAAGCTAAAGGCTTGGGATAAGACATAACAGTAAAGGGTCCCATTTTATAAGGCCAGGAACCACCTGGGAAGGGGAGGGGGGTTGAAAATTTTAAAGATGAAATGGGGACCTTATACATCTGCAAACAAGATTTAAGATAGTTTCAAAACTTGAAAAAGAACCTCTAAAATATTCAGATATTTGGTTTTCTGAAGGTGATGACAATAGTAGCAATAACACTACCGCAACTACCCACACTAGGAGAAAATAAAATCTGAAAGGCTCTGTCCTGTGTATTCTTGGTCATGCCATTTTTTTAAAAAATCTGTGCTGCTTTCACTCTCTTTCCAGAGACCAGGAATATGATTCTGCCACAACCCATCTATTCTTAAGCCTGTATGCTCCTTATAAACCAAGTGTGGAAGCCCGTGAAAGACTGCAGATTTCCTGCATGGTCTACAGCTGCTCCAAATAGAAGAAAAAAGTACTCACCAACAGCTACGTGTACAGCCACAACATGATGGCTGAGTGTTAAAGCCCAAAGGTGCAGATTATGGACCTGCTTCACACCTTTGACAGAGAGCAGGGTTTCCTTAACTGCTTGGAACTCCACACCTCGAGGTGTCCCTGAAGGACAAAGAAATGGCACACATTTAACTGGATCCAATTCAATCCCCTTTTAGAAGCCTCTGGTCCCTGTTTCAATTGTGCAAAGTGACTGCCTACCATCCAAACCTACCATAAAGCAGCCACTTTACACAGAGTTCCTGGGAGGAAGCCACTAGATGTAGGAGAAGAGAGGTATCTTCTACGCAATTTCCCTCCAAGCTAAGGAAAGCACTATCACATCAACTATGCAGCTTAGCACATTTTATCAAGACCAGTCTTGAGAAAACACAGCTCCATTTATTTTTGTACTTAAATTTGAGAGGACTAGTATACCGGTACATCACTTTATTTTTGATCAGAAAAATCATTTTCCAGTTCTGCCCCCTCCAATGGAGAGCAGAACTACTTTCTATATAAACAAGTTGCACAGAGCCTTTAGTTAAAATTTGTTGAGTAAGTCCAACAAGTCACATAAACACATACTTCAATGGATGATTAATGAGTGTGTGAATGGTTAAAACTCAATGATTAATGAATGTGTGAATGATACTATCTAAGACACACACTTGATTCTATGGGGCTCTTTTATCAAAGACAAATACCAGTAGTTACCTGAGACTCTTAAGTGTCCAGCATTGCTGAATTGTGGAAATTACAAATCTTTGTTTCAAATTCTAGTTTCTACAAACTCGTGATGGCTGCATAGGTTTGAACAGCATAACAAGCCTCGGGTATGCTATTGCCCATTTTTAAAAGAGTTGTGGCTTAAACACATTTTTTAAACAAATTTTATTAATTTTACAATTAAAAACAAATCAACAATACATACACAAATAGAAAAACCAGAAAAGAGCAAGGAAAAAGAAAGAAACGCGAAAAGAAAAGAGAAAGAAAGAGAAAAAGATTAAAAAGTGAACACTTAAAAACATTCTCATTATATACACATTTTAACAGAAATCCCATAAACAGCTTGCATATTGTGGTAATCATAAGTATATGTCGGGAAAGCATTCCAGTAGGGCATCATCATCTGTGATGATCTTTTTATTTAAAAAACACTGTTCCTGAACAGAGGGAAATTGATGCTGTTACTAATCTAAAAGCCATTATACAATTCTTGGTTTGTTACTGCAGTTTGAAAAGATCCATGGCTAATAGACTCTTAGTGTCTCCTTGAAACCCACATGTGAACCTCCCTTACCTTAGCTGTAATCATGCCATTGCAATCCAGATGGATTCAGTTATAATGGCAATGGGTGTACCACTGGAAAACCTGAAAAGCCAGGCTAGGGACAGGTCATTATGGAGAAAACCCATCTATGTGGTTGCTAAGAGTCGACACTGACTTGATGGCACCTAACCAATCAATCAAATCAATGCCATCTAAGTGCAAACATGAGTGACAAGTGTAAACAGGATTTGAGCCAATCAGGACAAATGCAAGATAAGAGGAGCCCTTAAGAAACTTCAAGGTTTGCAGAAGGATAAAGGGCTTTTTATTTAAATGGACAGTCTCAACTGTCAGTCCCTATCTTTCCATTCTCCGCCGCGCCCCCTCCGCCATCACAACTGATGAAGTTTCTTGGATGAGAAACAAAACATTTTATTCTTCTTCCTCAATGAAAAAACAGTCCAGTTGCCTTTTGAAAAAGCACCTTTGAGACAACTATGACCTGGATGACTGAGAATCTCCACAGATATTTAAATGGATAAATCAACTAAAGAACAGCACAGCAAGGACTGAATATCCTTTGGTACCATAGAATGTCAAATGCCAGGTGGAAAATTAAAAAAAACAGGAAGCAGGAATAGACTGCCAGTTTGATGTTTTTGCAGCCTATAATATCTTGCAGTAGGTAGGACTAATTTTATGTATGCTGAGAGCATATGCACCAAGACAAATTCCTTGTGTGTCCAATCACACTTGGCCAATAAAAAATTCTATTCTATTCTAATTGCCAAGAGCTCTAAAGGAGCATGTCAATTGGACTGCGTGCAACACAGGTGCACTGTTTTGTTATAGATCCCACTGGAATTTATCCCACTTACTGTATGGTAACTAATTGTAGGTAGTTGATCACCATCATCATCAAGATAATTTCTTCATCTTATACTTTGATCAACACAAGACTCTGCCTTATTTTCTTATTCCAAAAGTCTTAATAGTTTATTTCTAAACATTTGCCACTTGGGGCAAGATATCTAAAGGCCAACTTATGAACACACCCTCTGGTGGTTTCTCATTTCTTCACCTTTTGACATACATAACTAAAGAGATGTATGTCATTATTTTCTTCTTCAATGTACTTAAGGAAAATTCCTTTTCTCTTGCCATCATTGCCGATAGCTTTCAATACATTTATACTATCCACTTACACTGTTAATTGTACAGAAACCATTGTTAATTATTAATAATTTCCTATAATAACATTGATTACCTGAAAGAATCATTCTAGAATTATTTTAACAATGTCCATCCCCCTGTAATGTAGCCCCCTTGCAGCTGTGAAAGACAACTTACCTTCCATCAGTACTCGAAAGACATCGCGAAGGATGGTTAAAGTGGAGCCCAGCACAAAGATTGAGAAGAGGAAAGTACTCACTGGGTCAGCAATCTTACATTGGGGCTGCAAAAAAGGAGAGGGAATGGCAGATAGTATGAAGCATCCTGGTACTTATCTCCCAATTCTTACACCCTGGATTGGTTTTGCAAAGGAAAAGGACAAGCAGTCACACAATCCCCTTAGTTTTTTTATAGCCATTCTCGGTAGAATGTTTATATATTTTGATCTTTGTTATATCTGAGCTATAAAAATTCATGTGATCATTAAATAGCTGCCATTCTGATGGAATGGTAGCCCAGATTGAATACAGTAGACCTAAACTTAGTGCAAACAATTTATCTGAAGGTAACCGGGTTTTCTATGCTACACTGAAATTTTGTTTCATGGTTATTTTAATTCTTTTTAAAAATATTTTGCTCTCTTTAAACACGCATCCATCGTTAAATTCATTGGTAAGTTTGTTTTCTTTTAGATTCCTGTTATGCAATTTGGTATTCTGTTACAAGTCAGCCAATCATGGATGCACATTTTGTGGGAGTACCCTTAAAATTCCAAGAGTGTCCTCTATAGACAGAGAGAAAGTATTGGCCCTATATGTAAATGAGTATAATTACTAGGAGTTTCTGGGTCCATCTTCTCCCAAGTAGTCTGGATAGGAACTTGATATCTCTTCCACTGAACATTTGCATGTACAGCAAATGAAATGGAGGTAAGTTTTAGAAGAAAAATGTATCAAATGCTTGCATCTCCGTTTCCCTGAGCCTGATCTCCCAATCAGATTCACCATTAGGGCAAAGATATCTGGCCCAATCATAGATTCTTTTGCAATGTGTGAGGAAGAGCTGTTTCTTCCATCAGTTGTTTATTCACGCTATTTATCTCCTTGGTGACTTTAGTTGCTCTGGGATTCTACATCTACTGTTCTGCACAACTATTGTCTCAGGCTGGGGGGAAAGTAGAAGTAATGGAGGGAGATGCTAATAAGGGAGCTCTTCATTTAGAGAAAAAGAGAAACGGCACATTGTATTAATTATCATACCCTGGTCCTTCATACCTTGAAATAGATGACAGTGGCAGCCACAAAGACCCCAATGCTTTGAAGTAGGTCCCCCACCACATGTACAAAAGCCGCTCGGACACTGGTGTTGTCATGGGTGGGAATGGAGAGGCCATGAGGGCTGTCCTCAATCTGTTCATAGCCTCTTGTGCTGAATCCATGACTATGTGCAGAGCCTGACTGATGCAGAAGGTAGACCATGCTGTGGAGAATTTCAAGAGTGGTAACTAAGGTCATCTTTGTCTCTATTTATCACCAAACAATTCTAAAAATCCCATCCATCACAGCAAACCCTCTTCTACCTAGAGTTCCTATTTCTTCACCAATCGGTTCAGACAACTGCACTAGCATATATATCATATTCATACTGGTGATATCATTTAATTACAAAATAATCATACTCAAAATGTAGCAGCTATAGTATAGATCCTTAAGGGCATATCGTAATCAGTGCTTTTAGAGCAACCAAGCAAAATAGGAAATCTTTTAAATATGCACATATTTTATTTGGATATATAGTTATTTAGCTAATATTTTAGAATTGCTCTGCAGGAAGCAGAAACCGTAGGTAGAATCCTGCCTGATAGGATCAGCATAATCTCCAGCATCTTGAAGGATTAAAAAGCAACAGCTTTGGGAAAAGTCATTTTGGAAAGATGACCAGTGAAGGGAAGTGGCTTCCAGCAAAATCAAATCAAAAGACCACCGGAAGTTTCTTTTCAATCAAACCAACCAAATATCAACAAAACCCCTCAAATACAGTGAGTGGCATCATAAAGACAAGTAGAACAAATTTCTGATGGCCACAAACAGGATCTGTCTGCTCAAAATAGACCCCTTCAACATGCAATCAGTGGAGTATATGGCTGACAGCTTGCAATAGAAGTTAGCTTGCTTAATCGATCCCACATAGTCACTCTACCTGATAATCAAAGTTACCTCCTCACAGAGTTAATAGTCAAATATTTTCCCCATCCTAGTAAACCTTACATGATGTTCACTCCCACTGCACAGGCTGAAGTACCCAGCATCACAGAAGCTTCAATCTCATAGTCGTTGCTAATTATGCGGGCTGAAGCTAAGTAGACCAGCACTCCTGTAACGATCCAGATAGAGAGGACAGAAGCCAAGGCACCCAGTGTTTCTGTGAGAAAAAAGAAAGCTGCTGCTTAGGTTCCCTGACTATCTTGACAATTTTCTAACCTGATCTTTCTGCAAGCTGCTTGGGGAACAGTAATGCTGACTGGCATTAGACTGGCATTAATTTCACACCAAAAGGGCAAAACTTAGATCTCATCTTGGCTCTGTTCAAAATTATTTGGAGAAAAATTTGGGAGAATCTACAGGTTAGTTTAAATTTTCACACTGGCCCTTTCCCTACTTGCATGTAGAAATGTTTTGTAGTGCCCTGGCAATTGCCAAGCTCTCCTTAGATCATTTGCATATGTTCGTGTCACCTAGTCACAATGTCAAAATAACAATGAAATAGATAGGCTTTATATCATTTCTACAATTGATGGGTGATGCTACCAGTATAATCACAAGTATAAAAATGACCACTCGTTTCATTACTACCGGTAGCTGAAGATTTAAGTAGCCTTATGTTATGCTTTTCCTCTTTAACCTTACATTCCCTAATCAGTTGTATTTAGTGAACAATTGCATTTATTAGCTAATGCTCAAGATTTGAAATCTGAGTTTCAACAATATATGGAACGAGAACTGCCAAATGTACAATTTAGAAGAAGCAGGAGTACTTGAGTTTATATTGATAATAACTGATAGATAGCAAAAAAGGCAAGGGGAGCTCCAAAAAGATAACTGGGCATTTTTATTATGTTCAGGTGACTATAGCCATGAAATTAAGAGATATAACCTCATTGGGAGAAAGACAAGTTTAGGCAAAATATTAATGTGAAGAAATAACAAGTCTGCATGATCAAGCCCATGGCTCTCCAATGTTATGGCTATGAAAGCTGTAAAAATTGATTGGGAATACTTTGGGTAACGAGAATACATCATTCAATACCACAGGAAGTAAAATCAGACAGAATGCTAGACACAGATTAATAAGAAAGTTAATGTTGAAATAGGTAACACAATGTGAAAAGACCTTTCTGATAGTGGAGAAAATCTTGATAGTTGAAAAAATCAAAGGCAATAAGAAAAAAAAAACATGAGAAAATACAACTATACAACTATATACTTGAAACAACTCAAAGTAGTTGTTAGTAATTTTAGAGAAGCCATTACAGAGTCCCAAACTGCAATAAGGCAAAGTGACATCAGATCTACCATATCCATGCCACATGGGTTACTAGATGATGTGCCATAAAGAAACAACAATAAAAATCTGAGGAGAAAATAATTCTGAGGGCCTGTAATGGACACGCTCCCACAATTGGGCAACATATTTTATTATTGACTCTACTGCCATAATAGAATCACTCTGTGAGATGGGTGGTTTTTAAATTTGATAAATAGAAATAGAGATGATAGAAATAGAAATAGAAAATGGACTGGTGAGGAAGCCAAGTTTATGATATCATTGTTTTGTACTCACAAAAGAGTGGAGAATAGTGGAGAAATAAGATTTGCTATAAATCTAAATTGGATGAAATTAAGCCCATCGATTTTCATCAGCCTATAAAGTTGATGCAAGATAAAATAGAAATCACTTTTCTTCAACTTAAGTTTATTTATTTTAAATTCTACATTTCAGGATAACAAGTCTCTCAAGCAGCTTACAGGTAATCCTTTTTGTTTCTTCTGTTCCATTATGACTGATTCCTGGAAATTACCTGGACAAGTCCCTGCAGTTTTTGTGGCAAGGTTTTTCAGAAATGGTTTGCAATTATCTCCTTCCTAGGACTAAGAGAAAGTGATTGGTCCAAGGTGTGAGACTTTGTGCCTTCAGAACTAAAGAAGCTTGTTGGATGAGAAGCGAAAGTTTTCAAAGAAAAAACAAGAAAGTCCAGTTGTCATTTGGGGGGGAAAGGCCCCTTTGGAACAACCTTGACCAGAATGAGAATATCCATTGACATTTTGTTCCAGAGACAAGATTAGAACTCACAGTCTCCTGTTTCTTACCTGATGTCTTAACCAAACTGGTTCTCAATAAGTAATTTATACAATTGAAAATAATTGTAAATTGCACATAGCTCTACCTTGTTTTTTTTCTAAGTATTTTGCCCTCACACTGCTTTGTAATGGTTCAAAAGGGATAAATTAATTCCTTGTAGTCTTTCACACAAACATATGTTTCTTTCGAAAATGCCTCACCATATGTTCAAATGCTGTTTTTTCTTTTAATTGGTATAATTATTTTGTCAAAAAAACAGAGAAAAGCAGAGTGGACAATAGGGGAAAAAGCATTCACAGAGAAGTGAGTACCATAGTTGCATATATTGAGACAATGTATGGACAAGTATTTTTTAAAAAAGGGGACAACAATCCCAGACCCTAGACACGGGAGGGCAGTACTCACAAAAGTATGTTTCAGATGGATTTCTATTATTGTTCAAGGAAGTAAAACAAATAAATGTAAATATATGCTGGGCTATTAACTTCAATAGATAAGATGGGGTTACCCTAACACAGGCTATCATGAGAAGGAAGGAATCAGCAAACATTCTGTCCCAAACCAATACCAATCTTAAAAAAGACTCTGATCAGAGAAAAATCTTATTCCACAAGATCAGAAAAATTATCTTTCAACATTCATTCATTTTGTCAATGGAAAACAGGCAGAGGTTGGTGTGAATAGCTCTCAGATGAAACCAGGGACAAATGTCTGTTGTCTAAGGACTTTTTCATGAACAAATATTTTAGAGTTCTTGAGAAATGTACATTCCATTCAGACTTTCCTATAAAAGGCCAATTCGGTTATTCTAATGTCCTAATCTCTTCAGGCAAAACTTTCCTTTTATAGGAAAGTCTTAATTCTCAGGACAGGTGCTAAAAGCCATATGTAGCTGCTTATTAATGCAACCATCTCTCCATGACTGATTCCTGGCTAAACAAATTATTCTCTAGATTGTTCTCTAGCTTTCAGTGTAAAAAATATGCTTCAGCTTTCTGCTAATGTCAGAGAAAGGTTCTAACCTGTTTGAATGATGGGAGATGTTTTCATTGATCAGCTATTGAAAGAACGTACCTGAGCGGTGCCAGCCGAAGCTCATGGTTTTGGTGGCTGGGCGAGTAGAGACCCAGAGTGAAAAGAGGCTGACACCCATACTGCCCATATCTGTCAACAGGTGGGCTGCATCTGTCATGATGGCCAGACTATGTGCCAGGTATCCACCTGGAAGGCAAACAGACAGACCCTCTGGGATTTTAAAAGCATAGATGGAGACAGGTCAATTAAAACCTAGCGTAAGTATGTGCACAACTTGCTAAATTGGTTGATAAGATAATCATGTTTTATTGTATATCACTTCATGTGTTATACAGAGGCCTTTTAGTCAATTTATGGTTTAATGAGTTGGGTGAATCCAGAAAAGTAGCTAATTCAACAACTAGGTTCAATGTGTTTTGATAAATGCGGATGATTAATAAATTAATAAATAGGACAGACAGATCTATTATATCTTTTGACAAAACTGACCTATAACTTCTCCAACCATGAAGAGAAAGCAGACCAGACAGGCAATGCTGAGTTTCCGCTGAGCCTGATGTTTCTGTTGACTTTGAGTGATGGAAGATGGCATAAGGTGACAATGGGGGACCACACATGGCTCCATCTTGAGACCCACCATGGATATATTTGCACGGCCATTTTCTGAGGGCGGGTTATGAAAGACATCCTGAGAACCTGCAAACAAACTGAAAAAATATTGTGCCATCAAAAGAACCCTCCATCTGGGCCAGATGCCAAAAGTACTAATAAAGGAGAATATTTGTAGTTTAGGATTGACATAAAATAACAAAATCGGCAGCTTACAAAGAAAACCAACACAAAATGTTATATTGTTGGTGTATGGCGCCTTCACGATTGGCTAAGATCTACCCAAATCTAAAACCAAATTGCTGGAAGTGTGGACATCAACAGGGTACCTTCTTTCATTCTTGGTGGTCATGCCCTGAAGCAAAGAAATATTGGAAAGTGATTTACATGTGGTTAGAGGCGTTAACTAAAAAAAAAATCGATTTCATCCCGGAACTATTCTTTTTAGGAATAATTAAAAGAAACTATAATAGAAAGACAAAATATCTTATATTACAATAACAGCAGCCAGGATTTCCTATGCACAGTACTGGAAGAAAAACACCAGACCTCCCGAAGGTTTAATAATTAAAAAAATCTTTTGAGTGCGTGGAAGTGGATAAATTAACTATGGAACTAAAAGGGAAAGCTGACATGGAATACAATGCAATATGGGAAACATGGTATATCTGGATTGACAATAGACATAATAGAAAATGTAAATAATATATATAATAGTTATGAGGGTGTGGAAGTAGTGTGTATTGCATAGGATGTATAAATATATATGTATTGTCACAGTATTGTTCAATTAGTAATGGTATTATGTATAAATGTATAAATAAAGTGTTGGGGGGAAAAAGGATTGACATGAAACTCTGAAAGAAAACAAGCTCAAAGAGCACCAAGGAGCACTGATGCCAGAAGTCCACATCAATCCTGCCCCCCCTAGTGTTGCAATGGTGTTAATCCAATATCCAGCAAGAATGAAAAAATAAGGCAAATCTGATGAAGGCTTGAGCAGAAATCATGAAAGTGCAGCCCACTGGATTCTGGTGAGAGCAATAAAGATATATATGCTCACATTCTGGTTTTATGGAGAAATAGTTATACCAATTAAAACTACTGATAAGAACCACAAACAAATGAGCAATACATATTGGCTACATAGGTTAACCTATTGATAGAATTAACTTATTTTATGAGATTGCATAATAATACATGAAATAATAAACTAGCTAAGGGAAAGGGTTTGAATAACACTACTCTCTTTCTTCCCTCCATCTACAGATATATATTCAAGTTTATAAGATATAATATTCTACAAACTTTATTAGATCTTGAACTGCCCTAGTTAAGGTACCTAGCAAACTGAACCAATTAGGAAGAAGATGGATGCACACTAGAAACGACTTGACTTCCTTGGTTCTTGACTTCCTGCCCTTTATTTTTTATTTAACGTATGGCACATGTTAGACAGGGATCACTGAGGTGGCTGGCTGTCTCTGTGAAAGGAATTTTTCGGGTGGTGTTATCTTTACCTGTGGGACGCCTGACTGCCAATAGGCAAATGGGGGGGGGGCTCCTTTCTTGTCCCTCCGCAATTTTATTCACTCATGGGAATCGGACTGTGAATCAAAGCTGCTGACCTCAGTGGTGGCCAGGCCCAGAGTCTTACCATGTGAGCTCCCTCAGCCCATCTTCCTGCCCTATTTGTGAGTCTCTCAGAGATATTAGCCTGACCACTGCAGGAGGCAGAATGCTGGATAACATGGAATGATTTTGGCTGATCCCTGCAGAAGCATGTGATATAACACAAGTGTAACTTGGCTCTGATATTCGCCACCCTATATTTATTTGGAACTTGGCAGTGTCTTTCATAAGCACTCACCCAGAGAAGGCAGATGCTAATAATACATTTCAGTCATCCAGATGGATAATTAATAGCAAGGGATGGCTCAGTAATCTTCTACCAATTTTAAGCCAACTCAATTCTCTGCCCCAACAAGAGCTGAAAATCCCCAATACATCTCATGAGGTTTTCCCATGGCAGCTGCACATGTCAAGGGCTCTTCAAAAGAGAGTTTAACTCAGGAGCAAATGCAAGCAAGTCTCCAGCAAAACTTTCAGCTGGACATGCTTCAACACCTGGGCAGTCAAGAGGGAGTGGAAGGACTCAAGCCAATCCTTAGCAGAAACCACACATTTTACATTCCTCTATGACTATCTAACCACTTTCATACTACAGGAACTTCCAGGCAACCTGAGTAAGGAACTGCAACTCATATGCTCCTCTACCGAGGGTAACAATCTGAGGGATCCCACAATGGCTGTGTGCTCAGAAGATTCACTACATTTCAAGTGTGTTGGCATTCACTTAGAAATCAAGAATTAGAAGATATGTAGCTCAGATAGGTTTTGGATTAACTCCAAAGTATATTCACATCATGTCACATAGAGACTGTCTTCTGTCCAGGGTTTTCTATGGCCATGAATCAGGTGTAGGGGGACCTGATTCAGTTAATTTGGGCACTTCCCCCCAACCCCCCCCTTTCTTCTTGTTGACCTCCAGGGTAGGCTTTGGATTAGCTCCAACTTCTTTACTTGCATTGAGGAGGATGAAAATATGCTTAATATGCATTTTTTTCCCTCCTCTTTCTTTTTGCCCTGTCCCCATAACTTTGCTTTCTTCTCTCCTCAGCAATACAGACTTAAGTAATCTTTAGCCGGAACAAATTAAAGGAGCATTTCCTCCCTTGTTCAACAACTCAAAAAAAAAATCAGACTCAGGACATAATATCTGCTAGAATTTATTTCCCTAGGGTTTTAGAGGGAGAGAACCAATTTGCAGAGGTTAAGGCATCAAACTAGAAACTGGGAGACTATGAATTCCAGGACTTGGGCACAAAGCCAAATAGGTGACTTTGAGCTGATCAGCAGACAATGTCAAACCACTTCAGAAAATGTTCCCAAGAAAACTGCAGGGACTAGTCGAGGAGGCACATGCTGTACACATTTTAAAGGGAGCTTGGATACAGATCAATAACAAAGATCAAAATTGTCCAGCTGGTATTGTTTGCTGTGGGCTTCAACAGTCGGTGTCTTTTTCCCTTCATCCCTTTTGCCCCTCCTGGTCACGGTCCAATAGCAGGGAATCTGTGGAGAAATACTGACATGAATCTTGTCTTTCGATCTTAATTGGGTTTTTTAAAATTTATCCCATTTCCTCTTATTATTTCAGATAATTATACTTCGGAAGGGGCCTCCTCCCCGAGTAACCCTGGAGCAAGGCCGACCGACCGTTTCCTTCCCTCACGTTTCGCAATGTAGGCTCGGAAGTTTTCATGGGCCCAGTAGGGCCCAGGGCCTGCCCTGCCTTCGCGGGCATAGCGGCCCAGTGAAGGGAGCTGGAAGTCTAGTTTCAAATCCTATCGTCACTCTCACAAATGGTCTGAAATATCTCAGTGGTGGGTTAGCCCAGTTGCGCTCGGTCCTCCTGCGCAAGAGAGCCCCCGCCCCGTCTCCCACCGCGGCCTCGCCTTTTCTTCTGGAGAGCTTTCCTGCAATGCCCGGCCTCTGCACTCCAGCTCCCGACGCCATTTATTCCACAGCCGGCCGCTCGGTCGGAGGAGCCGCAGCAGCGCCTAACGCCCCGCCCGTTCCTTTTGCATCGAAGCTGAACCATCAGACGGGCAGAACTCAAAGCCTGGCTCGGAGACTGCAAAAGCCCCGTCGCCGATTTCGGTCCATACCAGGTCGAACTTAAAAGACGAACTCCCCCGTCCTGGTTCGCTGCTCAACGCTCCAAACAATGAATAAGTGGCGGGTAACTAGCGAGACCGTCGTGTTTCTCGAAGGCTACCTCAGCATACTAAACTAAACTAAATGGGATAGGTTTAATAGGATTAGTTTTGGTTAGTTTTATGCGTGACAGTGCCTAAGGATTAAGGTATAAAAAAATGTCATTCTGTTCAAAGCACCAGAACCGTTTGAGAGGTGTGATTCAAGTTACTTCCAAGTCCATAGTTATTTAGCTCTTCCTCATAGCTATCTGAACATAATAAATTTAAATAAATGCATCAATTAACCTGTTGCTGAATTAACTTATTTTGGGGGACAGACCCATAACTAAACTCAACTGAGTTCACAATGCCCAGGGAGTTTTAACAAATTAACCAAGGTTAGAAGTACCGTAATTAAATGTAGCCTTTGAAGTTGCCCGATTAGGTTAAGCATGCCCTGTGAAAAATTCTTATGATTGTATTGAGGGGAGGGGGGGGAATATTGAGGTGATAATAAAGGGGAACTACACTTTTAGACATTGCTGTTTAAAAAAAAACTTTTTTCAACCCCCCCCCCCCCAACATTTCCAATGCTAGCATGTGCCTAGATTCTCTGATTATCCAAAAGGCCTGTGCATTAATCTGGATGAGAGCTGTGAAGCACAACTTTTCAGCATTTAATTAAAGGCTGTGCCTTGCAAATTAGTCACATTCTGATGCAATTATGTCAGTGGCTCAAGAAGACATCTATCGGGTAGAAATTATTCAACATTTTCCCCCAATGGGCGGGGAGCACATCCAGTCTGGGTTTTTAATACAAGTAGAAGAGGAAAAAGGCAGAAAGTCGATGTTATTTTTTGCAAGAAATCCTAGATCTTTCCATTAGAAAGCCAATACTGTAATTCATATGTTCTGCGTAGCTTATAACAATGGCGAAATAATGAATTTTATATAATAGAATCACTGGTTGTCTCAGCTAAAGGGTTGGATAGCTAGTAGTTCAGTGTATAAACCATTATTTTCATGTATAGAGCTTCCTTTTTTGTGTCTCCCTGTAGTCATTATTATTGAAAACCAACAATACAACTTGCCCCTAATTTGAGGCAGGAAATCACAAAAGTGACATTAGCTATTCAAGGATTTAGAAATCCAGAGAGTTTTCCTCAGAACACCCTGGAAACAGAAAATGTCCATGTCTACACAATTTGCCTACTGAGCCTGAGCACAGCCAAATTTTTTACATCCAAATGAGATTCACTGAGGAGATGGAAGAGATGGTCTTGTCCTTCCAGGACAATTGACCCTAATGACCTTCAGAGCTTCTTTCTCTGACTAGGCCTGGCTAATCTGAAGAAAGGATGAAGGTTGTTGCTGAGTTCAAGTGCCTGCTCCCTCCTCAAATGCAAGCAAGGAAAGGCAGAAGGGAAACAGTGACAGTCCCAAAGAGCAGACTTTACCAGCCCACTGCTCAGCTGTGCCTGGCACCCAACAGAAATATGGAGGCAGATGGGTAGAAAGCTAAGCAGCCACCCTGCCTATCAAAGGAGCAACCAGAACAGCAAAGGAAGGGATAGCAAGTAAGGGATAACTCACTAACCTCCTCCACAAATTTGCCTCTGGAAGGTGGCCTTCCATTCCCAGTGTAGTTAAACTGAAGGACTATGTTTACAGTAGGCGAAGCAGATTGAATTAAAAAAGAATGGCTGCATTTGTGCAACCTACGGAGCTTGGTTACTTTAAATTTGATGTTAATGTTGCTTATGTTTTTGTTTTGTGCAGTCTTAGTGTATTATGCAAATGCAGCCCCTTTATGCTTCTGGTATTATGTGATTCAGAAAATGGGTCATTTCAGCTGGTCCAACTAGTCAGTGGTTCCTCTTCTGTATAGAGCAGCATGCAAACAGGATTCCTTCTTTCCTCCCCCACCCCAGCTCAGTCAGCAGCTCCATTCTGGAGCTGTATCTGCCAAAATCTTAGGTGAGGTGTTTGAAAAGGGGTCTTGTCCACTGAGGGCAGAGGCAGCAGAAGGGCAGGCAGAATCCATTCCTTCCTCCCACCTCACTGCCAGTTTTCCACTGAGCAATAACCAACTGCTTTTGGTGCAGGGCAGGAAGAATGAGGGGCATTACTGCAGCAACTGCAAGAAAAGGCCCCTTGGAGTTTCTTGAGCCCACACTAGGAGCAGATCCATTTTGCCCCCTACCTTTTCCAGAGGAACACTGGGAAACAGAGAAAAGGCAGGCTGTAGACCAAAAATCCACCCAAAGCAGCCTTCATCTCCAAAGCCCTCTTCCTTTGATCTCTTCCTTCTCACTGCCTGGACCAGTTCTCCTCCCACCTGTAATGAAATGGGGCTCCCTTCCCCTGCACCCCACAAGTAGAAAGCCATCAAGCCGGGCGGGGGTGTTGAACAGCAGGAATCAAAAAGCACGTCCCGTGTGGGGGCTGCAGGGATCCTGGGCTGCAGGGATCTCGGAAGGAGAGGAAAGACAGCAAGCGGAGGGGCCGGGGAGTCAGCTGCCGTGGGAAGAGAGGGGAAAACTCTGGGCGAGCAAAGTTGCCGTTAACCGTCGAGGAAAAGCGGAGGGGACCAACCTCACCGTAGAGGATGGAAGAGAGGAGGGGGCTCAGAGTGAGGGTGATGCACGCACCGAGAGGCAGGGAGGGGGACAGGAGGAACCTTCGGTAACTGGCCGCTTGCTGGAAATCACGATCCTCCCGAGGGAGCGAACAAGAACGGAACGGAACGTCCTTCAGAGAACTCCGGGCCTGCCTAAAGATCCAGGGCTTTTCCTTCCGCTTGGCTCGGATGGGCCCGGACGGAGCCCAGGGCTCTCTGGCAGGGCAGGACTCGGCAGGGGTAGAGGCGGGGGGGGGGGAATAGCGGGCAGGAGAATCGGTGGCAGAAGGAAAAGGGCTGCTCTGCGGGGCTGCCTCACCTCTTCAGGCGAAGACTATCGGAGCTGCGGCTGCTTTGGCTGCCCACCAGGCGGGCGGTCTCGGAGGGGTCCCCGCTGGCTAAGGTAGGGAGCTCCATCACCAGGAAGGTTGGCTGCGGCGGCCTGAATTTGACGGGCCCCCCAACCAAAGCTCTTCTCTCTTGGGCTTCTGCTGCCGTTGTTTTCGCCGTCGAGAGGTCCGGACTCCAGCAGACACAGGTGGGTGGCAAGGAGGGCTGGGGCTGGCCCCGCCCAACGTCCGCAAACTCCTCCCCCTGCAGGCAGTCCTCTGCTCGCCCCCCCCCCTCCGGACCTGCCCTTCCCATCTAGTGCAGGTGATTCCCACTGAGCTTGCCAGAACTAGCCAGCTGGGCAGCGGAGGAAGTTTCCGACCCGGGTTAGCACCACTAGGCACCTTCCTGCTCCTGGGAAGCGCTCGGACTATCCTCTAAGCCGACCCTTCCGTGGTTTGTGGAGCAAAGCCGAGCAATACCGTGCCGACTCCTCCGCAGAAGAAGAGGGGAGTCCAGCCCGGCTGCGAAAAGGCTTCCCTGGAAAAGCGCTCCGGTTCGATTCAGCCGAAGGACATCCGTGACCTCACAGAGAGCCTTGGAAGCCCGATCCCGATCCCCAGGTGGATGCAGCCTTCGGGATGCAAAACAACATCGCAGCCTTTCCTCGGCGATGGATGGGGTGATGGCGATGGGATGGGAAAAGTCTCTGCCGCGGCCGCCGTCTTTCCTAAATATAGCGGAGAAGTGGTGAAGCGCCACCGCAACGAGACCCACCATAGGTCGCTGTCGAAGTCCAAGCCAAGGGAAGAGCTAGGACGAGTTGGAAACCGACGATCGCTCTGGGAGTGAGAGGCAGATCATATTTGATATAAATAAGAGATCAAACAAGGGGGTCGGGATTTCTTCAACTTCACAAAGCGAGAATTTTCTCTAAACCAAAGAGGAATTCGCCGGAGGCGCCCTATGGCCCGGGAAGATTCAACTTCTCTTGCCTCTAAGCATTCCGGGTGTCAGCCCAGCGAGGTAGACCAAGACAGGAAACCGTCTGCACAAGTTTGACTAGAACAATAGAGTAAACTAGAGTAACAGAATCATGAAAGCTTGACTGCGTTTACCCTTCCTACCTCTGATACTCCAGTGAATTAGAGTGGAACTTATTTCTACTTCCGAAGCTTAAATCTGCTTTTTATTTCTGTAACGTCTTTGCTTATTTGCAGTACTCCAGGATCTCTGCGGTTTTCTGCACCAGGCGGCTGGGGCAGTAGCCTTTCCCCTCCAGGACAGAGCTGCCTGGCTGGGCTTCCCTTCCCCATGGGCTCTCTTGGGTCCTCTTCGTATTCCAGCTTACTCGATTCAGAACCCCTCCCCGTCAGCTGGGTCGGTTACAGTGGGACACGAGAAGGACAGGCGGTGGTTGAGCAAGGCTCCGTTTGCTCTTTGGAGGAAGGCTGAGATGAGGGAGCATTTTGGCGCTGGGGGTGCTGGCAGGGACAAAGCTGCTCTGTGGTCACAATTGCGAACAAGGGCACGGATCACCGGGCACCCAAGAGCAGGATTTCCATAAATCGCGAGGGAGTGTCATTCCGCTAGGAGCCACGAAGTCGGCCCCGTTTTCCAGGACTTGGAGCGTTGGGCGGCGGATCAGTAACGCCAAGCGCTGGAAGAAGAGGCGAGCATCCGAGGTGAGTAAAAGGCTTGTTGCCGCAAATAGAGCGGCCGGTCTTGCTGAGAAGTTGCTGGGCGGTTTGCTGGCCCTTGGGGCCGAGATGGTTTGACGAGCCGCTTCTGAAAAGATCGGACTCAGGCGAGGATCAGACGGGCGCGACGGAGAAGGGTTTACTGATGGGGAGGCAGCAGTGTGGTATTCGCCACCGAAGCCATTGAGGGAAGCAGCGGTGGGGCTTGTGGCGGTGGGGAGGAGGGCCTGGTAATCAGGGGCCCGTTGTGCTTCTGTTAAGCCTCTTGCATCGTTACTGTGGGAGAAGGCGCGAGCTCTTTCCCGGAAGGCATTGCTTGCTCCGTTGGTTGGTCGAATTAATGGACCAAGAAACCTCCCAATGACCGGAGGCCTCCTTAGGTGAGGCAGCTGATGTCTCCCGGATGGCTGTATTCCCACAGCAGGTTTAACCCAGTCCAGGAAAAATTTAGCAGCCTTATTGGCAGAATGTGCTGGATTTGATTGGCCTAAGCCGCTTAGTTTTTTGTTTTTTGTTTTAATTATTTATCGTCATAGTCGGTACTTAGTGTGTGATGCGAATCTAGTGTGTGTAACGTTTCTGAATGGTTCAAGGCCTTGAGCAAATCCAGAGGTTGAGCTGATAGAATAACCAGGGAGGTCGCATTATGCCACCGCCCCCCATGATAGCACGCAGGGAACACTTTTTCTAAAGGGATTTTTAAATCAGACCCAACCCGCATTTCTCAAAAAAAAACAAAACACCCCAACCCTCCAAAGAGGACGTGAGGCCGATCCTCCTTCAAGAATGGGACTCAAACAGGACCAGCCGGTGAAGGTTGACCCAGCTTGGGATAACTCCGGGCAGCGGTGCCCAAACCCAAGGCTTTCGGCCGATTCCTCCCGGGTTCTACAACCCTCAGTCCGACTGCATTTCAGGAAGCGTCTCGCTGGCCGGTGCGGCCCGGCTGGGCAAATGCCAGGAAGATTCGTGCAATAAGGTGCTTTTTTTAGGTCGCCCGTCCAAAAGAGGCTTCACATTGGAGAGAGCCCGTTGGGGACTAAAAGGACAGCCGCAATCGAGAACGCCCGAGCGCCCGGCTGGCCAGGTCGGGGAGGCATTTCCAAGAGCCAGTGGCGCGAACGATCCGGGCCACTTCTGCTGCGGTCACGGGCGACTGGATTGCAGAAGCGTCTCGGAGGATGAGCGCATTGTCTTTGGCACGAAAGCCATTGTGACTCCCTGAGCGGGCGAGGGCGAAGTAGACGGGAAGCCCGGCTCTGGGTTGCAACCGCCGGGGCTCGGCTTCAGCAGCCTTTGTCCTCCTCCCTACCTGGTGAAATCTGACGTCCGTCGCCATCGGATAATAATTCTTTATAAAAGAGGAAAAGAGCCAAAAGATATTTCTCCAAAGGATCCTGAATCCTGACCCTTTTAAAGTGAATATTTTTTCTTGCGACCGAAGAACATAGGGTTTTTAATCTATAACACCTTTTTTTATTAACGAATAAAACCCCACATGCATAAATAATTATATTCCATCGGTAAAAGAACAATTTAACCCAACTTCTTTCAAAGGGATGACAAAACCCATACCTTCAGTTAAATAAACTCCAATCTATTTAAACAATTTTAGTTTAATTCCTCTTTTCCATACATGTTACTAGATAACAGATCTTGTTCCTTGCAAGTGAGTTTCAGATAATCTTTTTCCATTGAGACACCATGAGAAATTTCAGTGCTTTTGCTAATATATATCTATATATATCTATATCTATATAATATTGTTGAAGCTTATGACATAATTTCAGATGTAATTTTAATTTTTTGTCCTAACATTTGTTAGGTATATCAAATTAATTCAAGAACTATTATTCAGCCTGGGAATATTGTTAGCAGGGAAATGTACCTCTTTTAGTTTTTAAATACTTTTGGATATTTTTATATCTAATGGGTGCAGCTCCCTGGAGAATCTGTTGTGATTTCTATAGTTATTTTATATATTGATATTAGTACTAGTTTACATTTACCTAGAAATCCAATCTTTTAAAAAATTATCAGTAATCTACTTGTAGTTATACTTTATCCAACATTTTTATAAAATACCTAATGTTTACATTGCAAAATAAATTGATATATACTCTGGTTATATGATAAAATTAGTCTTAGACTATGAGCTTCCTAAAAGAGATCATGACAATTTTCTCCAGTTACTGAAACCTCCTTGGTATCTTATTCATTGAAACTCTTTTCCATTTAGAGTATTAGTGACACAAGGCCACCTGGCAATTATATTCTTTGTGCCATATTTTTATGTCACGTGTTTATTTTTTTTACATTTTTAAGATCCCTGCCTTCACATAAATGTGAAAATATTAAAACAAAATGTATTTTTAAAAAAATCCCTTGAAATTATCCACTTTAAACATTGCCCTGATTTGTGTGTGCATTTATATTGAACACTGAAATCAGGAAGGAAGGATTTAATATAATAAAATGAGCAAAGAATGAAGGGCAAAACTTACATCCATTACACTGGTTACATGAGATACTAAAGGAGTGTTGAACTGCCAAATCAATTTATCTTGATGCAAGCTCCTCCTTATTACATGATGCCTGCTGCTTTAATGGATGATAGAATTGTTCTGCCTTGTTCCAAACAATAGTCAGAATACTGTAAAGACAAAATAAGCAGAAAGCAAAGGAGAAAGCTATTTCACATCAAAATTATAGTTTACACCCATTCATGGCTGCCTGCCTTATCTTATTGGAGAAAGGCTTCCAAAATGCTTTTTAATATACAAACTGGCTGTGGGTAATACTTCATTTGGGAAAGGCCAACACAGGACAGCAAAAGGCATCCAACTGGGAACAGTTTCCAAACTTTGGACAATAGTGACAGATCTACCCAGGCAATACAACTCAGTCAATTCTTAATTCTACAGAAAGATATATGGACAGATTTAGATTAAAGTTATTCTCCCTTCTGCAGGGATAAAACCTGCCAGATACCAGATAGATAACTCATGGGGTTTTATATATTTAAAATAAAATTTAACAATTATGTATTTAAAATAAATGCCAGGATGGGTGAGCACTATATATATAGGAGACTGAAGGTTAAAATATATGAAGAATGGTTGCAGGAATTGGGTATGCCTAGTTTAACGAAAAGAACCAGGGGTGACATAACAGTGTTCCAATATCTTAGAGGCTGCCACAAAGAAGATATGGAGTCAACTTATTCTCCATAGCACCAGAAGGCAAGACAAGAAGCAATGGATGGAAACTAATTGAGGTAAAGAGAACCAACCTAGAAGTAAGGGGAAATTTCCTGACAGTTAGAAC